GAATGAACTCGATCGCCACTGAACCAAATTAGGTCGCCAATGTTTGACTTAAGCTGGTGTCAAAATGTGCTTAAGCCTTAGTCATAACTACTTCGGGTTCTGGTGAAAGCAATTAACGAATTCATTCCAACAGCATTTTCGAATTATATGAAAGTTATACTAACAAGATTTGTAGAATTTCTTCATGACTATTTCAAGCAAGCCCAAACTTTCTGGTTGACAGAAGCCACAGTGGGTGACGGCAAAGTCTTCGCCCTCGGGGTTCCTGCTTATCAGCCACCTGATCTGGTAGAAAGGTCGAAAGCCTCCCCATATTGGTTGCTTTTCGTCGTCGCTTCTTGGCCCCCCATGATCTTGGGCATTCACAAATGTATGCTTGAAAGGCCTGGTTGCCCTATTGCATTTGGAGGAGAGCCAGAATTACGTAGCGCCGAGAAAATTGCGAAAGCGGCTGCAGAAAGCGGTATGAAAGGGTGGGGCGACATGGCCGCTGTGTTGGGATGAGGAGCAAAGGGTAGCGTCTGCGCTTGCAGAAAGGATAAAAGCCTTCTCATGTGAAAAAGCTGGCCTATGACAATTGTGCCCAAGCGGACTGGGCAGATGGGGGTAGCTAAGAGCTTCACATTATGGGGAGGATTGGGGAGTATAAACATGCACGCAGAGGGAAAATTAGTCCGCCAGGGCTTATAGAAGGCAAGTGTCTCTGCCATGTGCTTGGAGAATGGGAAATTGTCTCAGAGCCATGTGGGAACGGAAGGGAGAGGGCGAAATAGAGAATTAGAAGACCACTAGAGCAGCAAGGCAGCTGGAACTATTTGAGAATCATGGTAATACCAGTGTAAAGACAAACAACCACTTAAAAAAGACAAATAAATATCATTCGTCAATATAATTAAGAAAGTGTAAGATTATATTATTGAGCATACTTCCATTTCGAGGGAAAGTGTTTGGTGAAGAGATTCGAAGATTGGTTCAACCAGAAGACGACGGCGGATTCCTCTTGACCAGCTGTCGTTTCGCGCTTGGAAGATTCATGCTTACACTGTTTCTAAGGTAATCTTTTTCAAACCAATAAAAAAGTGCTAAAATTTCGTCCGTCATATGACGAACATCATCAGAGCAAGATATCATCGTCACAACAAAATTCAAGATAACGATTCAAGGTAGCGTTTAATACGAGTTTGAATAGTGCGAAATTTGAGTCAGTTCGAGTTATAAATTGACCCCAGACCGCATTTAATACATTACCTAACCAAATCACTCTATACTTGATCAAGATGTAGAGTATATATACCACTTTTTAGGGATTTGCCAGTGAATTTTCCTCACTCGTTAGCTTAAATTTTGTTGTAACGATGATACTTTGCTCTGATGATGCTCGTCAAATGACGGACAAAAGCTTAGCACCTTTTCACCGGAATCGAAGCAGATTGCCTCGGAAACAGCGCCAGCATGATTCTTCCAGTAAAGCCAATCGACAGCAGGTCAAGAGGAATCCGCCATCGTCTTCTGGTGGAATCGAACTTCGAATATCTTCACCAAACACTTTCACTCGAAATGGAAGTAAGCTTAACTATTATGAAACAAGAGATTCCTCGAAACCCAACTTTTCTTCCATTTCGAGTGGAAGTGTTTGGTGAAGAGATTCAAAGGTCGGTTCCACCAGAAGACGATGGCGGATTTCTCTTGACCTGCTGTCGATTGGCTTTACTGGAAGATTCATGCTGACACTGTTTCCGAGGCAATCTCCTTAGATTCCAGTGAAAATGTGCTAAGCTTTCGTCCGTCCTATGACGGACATCATTAGAGAAAGGTATCATCGTCACAACGAAATTCAAGTCAAGAAAACTCACCGGCAAATCCCTAAAAAGTGGTATACATACTCTACATTTGGCCTCTTTGATCAAGTAAAAAGTGATTTAGTTAGTTACGGACACATGTCAACCTC